CCAGCTGCGGAGAGGACCGGGAGAAGGCCCTCTGTGGGCGGGGCTGCGGGGAGCCACGCCCACCACGACCCTTTTCCTGTCTGGATCCCGAGCCTCAGGTAAGCACCTAAGCTGTTGGGCCCAGCGAGAGGCAAACTTAGAAGGCCGATTAACAAGCTCTATACAAGCTTGAGTTTGGAGCGTGGAATTTACTGCTAATTAAAAAAAAAAAAAGAAAAGCAAGCGGCGGTGACGCACACTTTTAATCCCAGCACTTGGTAGGCAGATGCAGGTGGGTCTCATAAATTCGAGGCCAGCCTGGCCTACAGAGTGAGTTCCAGGACAGCCAGGGACTACACAAAGAAACCCTGTCTCAAGAACGATAGAAAATCCCTTAACTATTAGGACTTGATTGCATGTCCCATTATCCCTTAACCTTGAGGTCTACGCTTGGTCCTAATATTGGTATCATACTTCGAATATTCTTGGGAAATCTGCTTCTTAAAACTTACCACCATATTTTTGAACCCTCTCAAACGTATTTCAGTGGTGATCCTAGTTTGTGTGTGTTTAACTTATTTTATGGGCATGAGTATTTTTTTAATGTCTGTCACTGTAACGTGCAATACCGGTGGTGGCCACAAGAGGCGGTACAGCCTCCAAGCAGGAGCTGGGAACCAACCTGGTGTCCAGCACTAGAGCAGCAAATGCTCTTAAACTCTGAGCCATCTCTCCAGCCTCCGAGGCTAGGGTTTTCTAGGCTATAGTTAGAAATTGGAATAGTAGCCATCCTTTTGACGTAGTAAGCCTTCACGAGGAAGGCTTCTAGAAATTTCAACCTGGTCTGAAGCAGGTGAAAGAACGTTTTACTTTTATAGGAATCGTTCAGTTGTACCCCTGGTTTTGTGGACTTGACTTTGAATGCATTTATTTTTCAAACGTTTCTTTTAAAAATATGTGTTCAGCTGGGCGGTGGTGGCGCACACCTTTAAACCCAGCGCTTGGGAGGCAGAGGCAGGGGGATCACCTTAAGTTCGAGGCCAGCCTCGTCTACAGAGCAAGTGCCAGGACAGGCTCCAAAGCTACACAGAGAAACTCTGTCTCAAACCTCAGTGTTCCGTTTTGAGAAATTATTCCAGAAGATGTGCAGAAAATAAGGCATATTTATCTGCCCATTCATTAATTCAACAAATTGAATAGAATTCATGGTTTAGAGTTGGACCCAGCTGATGTAAATTTGAAACTCACTTGGGCTACAGAGTGAAACCATGTTTCAAAAAATGAACAAACAAAATAGTGCATAGAGAAGAGAGAATATAACAGCAACTCTAAATAGAGTTATTGTGAGCACTGGAAGTAATGAGTAAAAGCTGCTTGTCTTGATGAAAATTAATGTCTGTTTGATGTGATACTGGATGGCTTTAGAAGAGCATTATTGAAATAAAGCACTGTTGCTATACTATTACATAAAGTTACAACAGATTATACCTTGGTGCTAATTTAAAATACCTGACACAGTTTTTATTTGTTTATTTTTGAGACAGAGTTTCTCTGATCAGCCTTGACTGTCCTAGAACTTGCTCTGTAGACCAGGCTGGCCTTGAACTCAGATATCTTCCTGTCTCTACCTCCTGAGTGAATGCTGGGATTGAAGGCATGCACCACCACTGCCTGGCAACACAGTATTTTTTTTTTCCCAGATTTTACTTATTTATTATGTATACAGTGTTCTGCCTGCATGTATGCTTGCAGCCCAGAAGAGGGCACCAGATCTCATTATATATGGCTGTGAGCCACCATATGGTTGCTGGGATTTGAACTTAGGACCTCTGGAAGAGCTGCCAATGCTCTTAACCTCTGAGCCATCTCTCCAGTCCCATCAACACAGTATTTTTTTTAATAAATCTTTTAAAAAAGATTTCATTTATTATGTATACAACATTTTGCTTCCAAGTATATCTGTACACCAGAAGAGGACACCAGATCTCATAACGGATGGTTGTGAGCCACCATGTGGTTGCTGGGAATTGAACTCAGGACCTCTGGAAGAGCAGTCAGTGCTCTTAACCTCTGAGCCATCTCTCCAGCCCAACACAGTATTTTTAAATGTCTGAAAAAGCAATCTGTAGAAACGGTAGTGGAAGCTATCTCTGGGTAAGATGGCTGTTTTCTTTTTGTGTGTAATTTCTTTCTCTTCCTCTCTTTAGCTCTTTCTCTCAGTTGCTTGTGATGCTGGAAATTAAACCCAGGCATGCCTCACACACACCAGCAGGCATCCCACCACTGAGCTTCCTCTACCCCTACTTCTGTAAATTTTTAGGGGAACAAATAGAGATGGTTCACAATTTCCCAGTACAATCTTTTTTACAGATTGTAAAAAAGTATTTATGGATGCCCTCTTCTGGCGTGCAGGCACACATGCATGCAGAACACTGTATACATAATAATCTTAAAAATATAGATAGCATGATACCATGTTGTATGTATATTAGCTATGCCCCAAAATAATAATAAGCTGGGCATGGTAGAACTCACCAGTTGTTCCAGCACTTGGGAGGTAGAGGCAGGAGAATCAGGAGTTCAAGGTCAGCCTTGGCTACAAAACAAGTTTGAGGCCAGCCTGGGCTATATGAGACAAATAATAGTAGCTTTCTACAAGAGAATAATTATGAATACTTTTCTTTTTGTTTTCTACAGTGACTCTCTCTCTCTCTCTCTCTCTCTGTGTGTGTGTGTGTGTGTGTGTGTATTTGTTTGTTTTTTGAGACAGGGTTTCTCTGTGTAGCTTTGGAGCCTATCCTGGAACTCACTCTGTAGACCAGGCTGACCTCAAACTCAGAGATCTGCCTGCCTCTGTCTCCCAAGGGATTAAAGGCATGCACCACCAACACCTGGCGACTGTGTATATTTTTAAAAGCCTAATAGAAGTTATTTTGTTTAGTTTGTTTGAAACAAGATCCTACTGAATAAAAAACATAATAAAAAAAGGAAAGGACATGACTGCTCCTAGATATGGTGGAAGAGGGGTTATTGTAGATAAAAGGGAGAGCATACTCAGAGGCAGGGACATCTGGGAGAGTCCAGAGTGAACTTGTCCTTGAGCTGGGCCAAGGGAGAGGAGCCCCTGATCAAGAAAGGTGGCCTGGGCCAAGAGACTGGCCAAGACAATAAAAGCATAGACCAAAAGGGCAGGTATCCACAATGGCCTGATTGTATACATAATTATACATGGGGGAAGGGCAACTCACCCTTGAGCTGGAGAAGTTTAGGGTGTGGGGCAGGGTATGCCAGCCATACTCTGTAACAGAGAGGGACTGAAGGATGCTGGAAGAACCTGGCAGCTAGTGTCTGCTTTGATGTTTTATTTATTTTAAAATTTTATTTAACTTTATTTTATGTGCATTGGTGTGAAGGTGTCAGAACTCCTAAAATTGGAGTTACTGATAGTTAATTGAACTGGGTATGGATGATGGGAATTGAACCTGGGTCCTCTGGAATAGCAATCAGTGCTCCTAACCCCTGAGCCATCTCTCCAGTCCCACTGTACCCCCCACTTTGATATTATAGTGGGCACCCCATTTAGCCATTTGTCCCAGATTTGAGACCTAACACCTACTATATAGCCCGGGCTAACTTAGCACTTGAGCTCTTCCTTCCTGAGCCTCTGAGCACTTGGATTAAAAATTGTGTGGACAATGGGCCTTGGTGGTTTATGCCTTTAATCCCAGTACTTGAGAGGTGGAGGCAGGTGGATTGAGTTCAAGACCAGCCTGGTATACAGAGTGAATTCCAGGACAGCCAGGGCTACACGGAGAAACCCCGTCTCAAAAACCCAAAAAGTGTGGAACTACACCCAGCAAAAATGTTTTAAAAATCCTTTTTTGGAAACAAGTCTCCTAACAGGAAGTGGGGAGGGGAGGCTCACTTCCTGTCCCTCCTCCACCCCTGCTCCTCACCAAACCTCCCACGCCCTCCCCCACTCCTGGGTCTTACATTTCAAGAAGAGTGATCGCTCGGGTGAAGGGCTGGTTTTCAACAAGGCGCCTGGCTTGGAGCTGGAGGAGCCAGATAGCTGGCAGCTTATGTCTGTAAGGAATTGCAAGTGTGAGATGTGAGCTCCTGCAGCTCATGCAGGTAGAACAAACAAACACACCACAGTGAGACAAAATGGGAGCCTTGCAAGTGTCTCCCACGTGCAAACTTGGAAAAAGATACAAACTTTGGAGAGGGGAGGACCCTCAACACACCAGCCACTCATTGGAGACTGCAAGGGCAAGCTTTGGAGGCAGCCTTCCCAGAAAGCAGTGCTAAGTTTTCAGGAAGGTGCATGGCAGGAAGCCTAAAATGTTTGTGTGTGGGGGGGTGGGTGGGTGGGGGATCAAAACGCCGCTGGCTGTGCAGATGGTGATTATGGGATGTATGTAAACACGCAAGCTCCGGCAAGCAGGGAGAGCTGCACCACTGAACTCAGACTGCACTGGGGCCACCCACCCTGGCACTGGCCCTGCCCTGGCTGGCCCAGGGCTCCAATGGGGTCTAGGGGCCAGGGCACAGCTTGGAGTTCCCAGAGCTATTAGCTTAGTTGCTGTTTAATTACAGATCTGTCTGTAGTGCTGCCTGGGAGCAAATGGCACACTCTGTAGTCCCATGGTGACTGAGGCGGAGAGCTTCCTAGACAGAAGCCAGCGCATCTTTTCTGCTTACCAGTGCTGTGTTGCTGACCCTGACTACTTGATCTCCACAAGACTCTGGGAAATTGCCTCACCATTCTCATTACTCCTCTATAAGTGGGTAAACTGAGGCTTAGAGAGGTTAAGTGATTTTCCCCAAGACCACAGGCTTAGAAAGTAAGCGAACTGGACTAAAGAGATGGCTCAGCATGAAGAACACACTCTGCTCTCACTGAGGGTCTGAGTTCAGTTCCTAGCACCCATTATTGGGTGGCTCACAACCACTTGTAACTCCCATTTCAGGAGACCGACCACATGCCCCTTCTCCCTTCCTCAGATGCTGCGCTCGTGCACAAACCCACACATAGATAGGCAGATGCATGCACAATTTTTAAAAAAGAAAGTCAGGCATTGGTGGCGTACACCTTTAATCCCAGCACTGGGGAGGCAGAGGCAAGCGGATCTCTGTGAGTCTGAGGCCAGCATGGTCTCCAGAGCGAGTGCCAGGATAGGCTCCAAAGCTACACAGAGAAACCCTGTCTTGAAAAACAAAAAACAAACAAACAAAAAAAACAAAAAAGAAACCCTGTCTCGAAAAAAAACAAAAGAAGGAGAGAGAGAAAGAGAGAGAGAGAGAAAGAGAGAGAGAGAGAGAGAGCTCGCCAGACTGATTGACTGACTTTAACTGTTAATAGCACTGTAATTACCTGTCATGGTTTGCTCCTTCCTCCCAAGGATCTATATAACCCAATGGTTGTTGGGAACAGAGCCATTTTCTTCAGTGGCACAGCCTTTGGCAAATGCCTATACTCCAGTAAATAACATCCCACCCACACTCCTGTAAGTAGCTTTAACTAAAGGCATTGGTACACGCACATGTGTGCATACACACATGCACACAAAAGCAGAAGAGGGAATTGGTTAGGCAGAGGAAGAGAATCCTCAGGAATGGGAGGGAGACAAGAGAGTAGTGGAAGTGGGGAACTGCAGAAATGTGGTACAGTCATGCATTCAGGCAAAGCACCCATACAGATAAAATAAAAAGTAAATCTTAAAAGAGAGAGAGAGGGTAATTGGTCAGATATGTTATATGCATGTGTGAAAATGTCATAATGAAACCTATTTTTATGTATAATTAATATACAATAATAAAGTATTCAAAAGGGTAAAATTGATCACACACACAAAGCCCAGCTAAGCCTGCAGAGAGGTCCCGTTCTCAGAAAGAACAAAGGGTGGAAGGTTGTTCCAGCAAGAGGATGCCTTAGGAAACACCTCCTTGGGGACCCCTGACTGCCCGTCCTTGGATCTTGCCCATAAGGCCTCCTTCACACCATGGCCTGTGAGTGACAATGGGGTAGACTTTGGCAAAGGCCTCACCCCTCTCTGAACACTAGAGTCAGTCATGCTGTTACCCGAGTGAGAAACTTCTCACAGGGCTCTTCCCTGACTCTGGAAAACTTTCTTCTACTTGCTCATTCCCAGAGCCTGAGCCTTCTTATCCTGGTTATATTTTGTCACACTGACACAAGACAAGAGTTATCTGGGAAGAGGAACCTCAACTGAGAAAATGCCACCATCAGATTGGCCTGTAGACAAGTTTGTAGGACATTTTTCTTTTCCTTCCTTTCTACCTTCCTTCCTCTCTCCCTCCCCCTTTCTTCCTCTCTCTCCCTCCTTCCTCCCTTTCTTTTGACAGGGTTTTTCTGTGTATCATTAACTGTCCTAGAACTTACTAGGTAGATCAGGCTGGCCTTGAACTCACAGAAATCTGTCAGCCTCTGCCCCTCATGCACACAGAGTGCTGAGATTGAAGGTGTGTGCCACCATGTCTGGCACTGGGGGACATTGATTAGTGATTGCTGTGGAAGCACCCAGCCCACTGTGGGTGATGCTATCTATCCTTGGGCAGGTGGACCTGGGTGGCATAAGAAAGCAGGCTGACAGAGCGAGTGTCAGGACAGGCTCCAAAGCTACATAGAGAAACCCTGTCTTGGAAAAAGAAAGAAAGAAAAGAAAAGAAAGAAAGAAAGAAAGAAAGAAAGAAAGAAAGAAAGAACAGGCAGGCCAAACAAGAGATAAGGAGTCAGGCAGTAAGCAGTGTTCCTCCACGGTCTCTGCATCAGTTCCTGTCCTGGTTTCCCTGGACTGTTATCTGTAATGTGAAATAACTCCTTCCCTCCCCAAGTTGCTTCTGATCCTAGTGTTTATCACAGCAATAAAAACCAAATGAAGACACGCCTGGTTCCTTCTACCCCAGCTCTCCTTACTCTCCTGCACTCTTTGCCCATTCCTGTGAGCTAACCCTTTACTGCCCTTCAGCATGAGGAGCTCACTCTCACTTTACCTCAGATCCTTCCCATTTGTTTTTCCTTCTGCCTAGAGCACATTTCCACAGGAACCATGGCAACAGAGAACACTTAGATGGATCGGATATGTCTAACCCTGTATGGCAGCTCCGAAGCAGGATCTCCATCATGCAGATGTGGAAACAGATCTAGGAAACCACTGGACAAGATGACAGAATGACTTCAGATCTGTGTGTCACCCAAGTGCTTCCTACTCTTAGGGAATGCTGCTCTAGTTTGCCTCAGGACCTTCTCAGAGAGGCCTCCTCAGTGCCCACTATGAAATGTCTCCTCATCTCGGTCTCCTCTGGCTTTCCTTTGCCTCACAGCAGTTCCTGTGACCCCAAACACATGTGTTTGTCTTGCCCTCAGAGGGCTGTGACATATGACAGGCACATGGCCAATGTTGAGAGTGAATGCCACCACAGCTGAGGGGGAGAGATGAAAGGGCCTGTGCCAGGGACTCCTGAGTTTGCCGTAAGCTTTGTGGGTGCTTCAGGGTTGGACTCCAAATGGGTTCTGCCCTCCAGGCATTTACTGTGGTTGAGGAAGGGCTCATTTGGCTATCTCATGAAGCCCCGGGAGAGTGATCAAGCCGGTCCTAGAAGGAGTAGGGCAGAGGTGAAGTGACAGGGAGGGAGTGAGCTGACAGGACTCAGGTATGTGTACAGCTGTGTAGGCCACCTGCAGGGATGGTGACTGGCCCTGGGCAGAAGAGGAGGGGTAAGAGCTAGCAAGGTGTTGGTATGAGCAGACCCTGGAAGTGGTGGCTGGAGAGCGGCAAACAGGACACCGGCTCAGGACGGCAGAGGTGGCACACACCTGAAATCTACTCAGGAGACTGAGTCAGGAGGACAGGGCCAGCCTGAGCAACTTAACTGACTCACTTGAAATAAAAGAGAGCCGAGGATTTACCTCAGTGGCAGAGGGCTTGTTTAGCATGCTCTAGGCCCTAGGTTTCATTCCAAGTATTGGGGGCAGTGCTAAGCAAGGAGCTCCTAACTGCCCAGGAAAGGCATGACTTAAGTTGTTGGCTGCCTCTGCTTCTCTGGTTTATGACTGTCAAGTTGTTGGGACTGAAGTCACCAAGAGAGTCTCTAGACTGGGAAGATCCATCCTAACAGTAGGAAATACTCCGCAGGCTGGGTCCCATACTGCATAGAGAGGTGACAGTGAGTGATCCAAGCGTCAGCACCCATTTCCCTCTGCTTCCCGGTTGCAGATGTTTTGTGACCAGCTGCCTCTAGCCCCCACCACCCTGAGTCTGTCACCGTGACGGGCTGCAAGTGGGAGCCAAGCAAACCCTTCCTTCCATATGTGCTTTGTCACCTGACTCATTAGGCAACTCACTTTCCTTCAGGCGAGTCTCCATTGGTGTCTGTAAAGTGTCCCGGATAGCTTCCATAAATGTCTTAAAGAAGTTCTTGACGGGCTCAAAGGACAGGGGCACAGGGTGGCTCAGCTCCGAGGGGCGCATGTGCTGTTCCATCTCTGACTTAGTGGCTATATATGCCTGTGTGGACAGGCACAGGGTCAGAATGGCTCCAGGGGCTGCAAGCTGTACCTGACTAACCTCCACTGCACACCTGAGAAGAAATCCAGCCAGTCAGGACCCATTCTGCCTAGCCACGGTGGTCAGGATGAGCTGTACCACAAAGCAGTGGCCTGAGACATAAGGCAAATGGAGCGGCTGGTAGCCCTTCCCTCTCCTTTCCCTTCCCTTCCCTTCCCTTCCCTTCCCTTCCCTTCCCTTCCCTTCCCTTCCCTTCCCTTCCCTTCCCTTTCCTTCCCTTCCCTTTTCCCTTCCCTTCCCTCCCTTCCCTTCCCTCCCCTTCCCTTCCCTTCCCTCCCCTTCCCTTCCCTTCCCACAGGGTCCCTAGGAGGGCCTGAGCAAGGAGGAATGACCAGACCATGGTATTCAAGTCAGGCCACTGTGAGGGTCTGCCCTGGGGGCAGATACAGAAATTTTCTAGACCTGGGTTCTACTCTGTTTCATCTTGTGTTGCTGGGACATGGTTTTGTGGAGCCTAGGCTGACCTTCAACTCCTTGATCCTCCTACCTCTACCTCCAAGATGCTGGGGTTACAGGCACATTTCATTGTTCTGGCCAGGCCCAGGTTCTGATCCTACCAGAATGTGAGCCCCAGTGAGTCCTACTTCCCTTAGCCCCACATCTCATCTACCAGAAGCCTTACTGCACACCTCTAAATATTTGAGCTAAGATTCATGTGTTGGTTAAATAAGAATGGCCCCCATCGGCTCATATATTTGAATAGTTGGTCATCAAAGAGTGGCACTACTTGAGAGGGATTAGGAGGCGTGGCCTTGTTGGAGTAGCTATGACCTTATTGGAGTATGTCACTGGGGTGGGCTTCTAGTCTCTTCCTGCTGCTTTTGGATCCGAATGTAGAACTCTCAGCTACTTCTCCAGCACCATGTCTGTCTTTGTACTGCCATGCTTCCTGCCATGATGACAATGGGGACGAAACCTCTGAAACAGTAAGCCAGTCCCCAATTAAATACTTTCTTTTATAAGAGTTGCCAGGGTCAGCCAGGCAGTGGTGGCACACACCTTTAATCCCAGCACTCAGGAGACAGAGGCAGGCGGATGTTTGTGAGTTGAAGGCCAGCCTGATCTGTAGAGCTAGTTCCAGGACAGCCAGGGCTACACAGAGAAGCCCTGCCTCAAAAAAAAAAAAAAAAAAAAAGTTGCCCTGGTCATTTCATCTCTTCACTAAGACAATTCACAAAGTGCTTGCAGCTCAGGGGTCCTGGGAAACAGTGCTGTTAGGACTATTTATAGTTCAAGATATATGTATATTAATTATCATAACAGTGTATACTTCCTGACTACCTGTGTAGTGGCACTAAAGTCTACATGCTAGCCAGGGAAATCCCTGTGCACTTCCCAGTGTGTAAAAATCATGTTTGATGCCACAGGTGCAAGGCTACTGGGTAGCCAGTAGCATCTGTAAGATCAGGAAGCCCCGGTGTACCTGCAGCAGCTGGACGGGGTTGGGCTCCAGGCTGATGACCCACACCCTGGCAGAGAAATCATCCATGTCCTCAATTTGATTCCTGCAAGACTCTGCTTGCTCCCTGTACACCTGGAGGGTGAGCTCTGTGTTCTTATCGATGAACTTTTTGGCTAGTACTTCCTCTTCATCCAGGAGTAATCTGAGTTCTGTGAATTTGTGTGTCAGCCAGGCTTTACTTGAGTCTGCATAAGCCTTAAAGAAAAAAACAATAAGTGTTTGTTATAGACAATACACTTGCCAACCAGGAAGTCTAGAACAGAAAATATCTACAGAGTGAGTCCAGCAAGGTGGCCAGTCAAACCAAGAGGCCACTCATCAAAAATAAAGTTTTCCTAAGCACTGGCAAATAGATTTGGAACAGGGTTTCTCTGTGTAGCTCTGGCTATCCTGGAACTCACTATGTAGGCCAGACCTTGAGCTCACAGATACTCACCTGCCTCTGCCCCCTGAGTGCTGGAATTAAAGGTGAGTGACACCACACCTAGCTAAAGAGCCTTTTCCCACCTTCCTTCCTTCCTTCTTCCCTCTTTGTCCTCCTCCTCCTTTTTTTTTTTTTTTTTGTTAAAAAATGTCTTTTGGACTGGAGCAATGGCTCAGCAGTTAAGAGCATTGATTGCTCTTCCAGAGGCCCTGAGTTCAAGTCCCAGCAACCACATGGTGGCTCACAACCATCTATAATGGGATCCAATGCCCACCTCTGGAAAGCAGGGGGACATGTAGACAGAGCACTCATATAAATAAAAATTTTAAAAATAGATAAAAATAAGTCTTAAAAAATACTTCTTTAAAAAGTCTTTCTTTGTAGCCCAGGTGACCTCTAACTCCTAATTCTTCTACATCAGCTCCCTTCCTGGATCCTGCAGGTATGTACCATCATGCCTGGCTTCAAGGTCCTCTGTGAGCACAGTTGGCAGAGAGCTTGCCTAGTATGCTTGGAGCACAGGATATGGTGGGTGCACCCCAAAGATGGAGGCAAGAAACTCAAGGCCATCATCAACTATGTTCAAGGCCAGCCTGGTTGCCATGAGATCTTGTCTAATAAAACAAAAACAAACCCCCTGGGATGATATGGGAGGACCTGAGGGAGGGGAAAGAATCTGATCAAAATATATTGTATGAAAAAAAATGTAATCTGCCCCCTCACCTTTGCAAAGTGAGGGGAAGATAGCAAAATGTCGAAAAATAAACACAGCAAAAACTGCATAAAGGCTTGGAGTGGAACTCGTGGCAGAGAGCTTGCCTGACATGCAGGAGGCCCTGGGTTTGATCCACAGCACCTAACTTAAAGTATAAAATTATACCGAGAGACACAAAAAAGCCTTAACTACTGCTTCCTTTTATGGGGACCGGGCAGAAAATGTATTCACCTGTACGGAAGACTGCTGCACTGGGCCCCCGAGCAAGCATTTCTACATAGATAAACAGTTGGTCTCAGTTTTCCACATAGCACACACTCGAGTTTTCTAACTGTATAAATCATGTTGTAATCATACAATACAAAATGCATAGCGATGAAAAAGGATCCAGTGCTTTGACACATGCTACAGCATGGATGAGCCATAAAGACTCAACCCTAAGCAGAGTAAGCAAGATTCACACACACACACACACACACACACACACACACACACACACATGCCTTTACAAGAAATATCTAGAAACAAGCACAATGACAGGAAGTAGAGAAGCGGTTACCAGGGGTTAAGAAGGGGACTGGGCAGTGACTGCTTAGTGGCATCTGTTTTCTTCCTTTTTTTTTTTTTTTGTTTGCTATTTTGAGACAGGGTTTCTCTGTGTAGCCCTGGCTGTCCTGGAATGCACTCTGTAAATCAGGCTGGCCTTGAACTCATAGATCACCTGCCTTGGCATCGTGAGTGCTGGGATTAAAGGCATGCACCACCTTTAGTTGATTTAAGAAAATATAGTATGTGCCTGTCTCTGTGTGGTATGTACTCAGGAGTATGAGTACAGGTCAGGGACAAAGGACAACAGATTTCCTGGAGTTGGAGCTACAGGTGCTAGGGCCAGAGCTCAGGTCATCTGCCACCGAGCCTTGTCTCCTGCTGTTTTCAGTTTCTATTTGTTTCTGTTACTCTTGTTAGGTGGGGTTCTTTGTTTTCAATAGGATATGCACCCTTGGCTGGCTTGATGCTCCATATATACCCCATGCTGGCCTTGAACTCACAGCTATCCTCCTGACTTTGTAACAGGGTTCCAGACCTTAGTACAACTGACTCCATGGTAGAATTCAAGCCATAAAATCATAGACAGTTACCTCCTGACAAAACTAAAACAAAAGATCTGCTCCATTGAAGTCCATAGTTCTGGGACAGTCTCTAAATGTACCAATCTTGCTTTTTAGCTTCTGAGAAAGGCTCAAGGCAACACTGGGATCCTAAACACCCAGTATAGTCACTGGCTGGTCAATAAACATTTTTTATTGGCTTAAACCCATGTCTGAGCAGTCTTCTCTGGTGGACATCCCACACCTCAGCCTCCCACATGCTGAGATTCTAGGCTGTGCCACCACCAGCCAGAATTGCTATTTGAGATCATGAACAGTTCTGGAAATAGATAATGGTCATGTTTGCACACAAGTCGAATGTAGGTCATGACCCAGAAAGGGCACTTGGAGAGTCAGCACTATATATGAATATTTGGCATGTGTGATATAACATGTTAATTGGTTTAATTTAGCCATACCATTGTGAACATACTGTATTCTGTATCATAATTGTGCATGACTTTATTTATGAGCTAAATAAATGAATAAAAAAAAAAGAAAAAAAAGGGTATCAGTTCTATTCCAGTCACCTACAAGATGGCTCACAACCCACTGTAACTCCACTTCTAGGGCATCTATCACCTGTTTTCAGCCTCCATGGGCACCAGGCACACGTGTGATGCACAGCTCTACATGCAGACAAAACACCATACATGTTGAGTAAAATATTAAATTAAAAAATGAGAATGCCTTCATATGTTTACTTACACAATGAAAAAGCAAAAAGTAAGGTCTAAAAACTAGAGCTGCTCCTTCCCTCATCCAAACTTTTGTAGAGCCTACACAGCAGAGTGGGTCCTGTAAAGACCAGGCTTTCCTGTGACACTGGAGTTTTTGTTTGTTTTTCTAATACTATTGATGAGTCTCAAGCCTTGCAGATGCCAGGCTAATCCTTTGCTACTGAGTCTCAAGCCTTGCAGATGCCAGGCTAATCCTTTTTCAAGACAAGGTCACCCTTATGTAGCCCAGACTGGTCTCAAACACAGACCCTCTTGCCACTGCCTCCCAAGTAGGACGACTCCAGGCCAGTGCCATTATACAAGTCCCCATGTGCTTTCTTGACAGGACAGCTGTGGTTTGGCAAGAGATGGGAAGTGAGTTTCTGTGTCTCCTACCAAAGTCTTTAAGCAGTAGCTAGGTTCAAGGGCCAGCTTGGGCACCCATGGTCTTATTTGAAACCTGGCTACTGGTGTGTCTTTATGAATGACCAAGGGAAGGGAGGGAAATATGTTCCTGTCCACAGCCATACCACACTGAATGAGACTGACTCAGCGTGACCTCAGAAAGGAGGCAGCTTGGGCCTGGTTGGTACATGGATAGGAGGAAACATGTTCCAAAGCCTGGAATGATGAACATATATGTTAGAGGCAACGGGATGAACCAGGTAGGTCCCTGTAGAGACACCAGCAGGATTCATTGTTCCTTCCAGCTGAGTTGAGTTCCAAGCAGCCCTGAAGATCCATTTTGTCACAAAGAGTATCTCAAATAATGGCATTGCACTCCACTCTGTGTGTGTGTGTGGGCGGGGCAGGAGGAGCTGCTGAAGGGTCAGCAGAGGTGTCATAGCAAAGCACAGGATGCAGAGTGGTGGTAGGAGATGCAGGGATGGGGTAGGCAGTGAGAGAGAGAGGGGAAGGGGAGAAAGAGAGGAGAGGGAGGGAGGAGAGGGAGAGGGGGAAAGGGGAGAGAAGAAAAGGGAAGCAGAGGAGGCAGAGGGAAGGAAGGGGAGGCAGAGGGAGGGGAGGAGGAAGGGGAGATGGGAGGAGGGAGGGAGGGAGACAGGGAGACATAGAGAGATACACAGAGAGAAAAACAAGGAAGTTGGCTGCCAGTTTGGGTCCCATAGAGTCAAAGTCAAACTGGATCCCACACTAAACTTCAGAGTTTGGACCTGGGCTGGGTGGGGCTGGTGGAGGGCAAGCCCCTGTGGAGGCTAGTTGAGAAGAACCTATGGACAACCAGCAAGAAAGAACCTGACAGCTAGGAAGCCCTGATCGGGGAGCCTGAGGGATTTAGTGCATGGGATGGATTTAGTGCATGGGATGCTGGCTGCTCTGCGACCACACCTTCCTTCCAGAGGCTGGGGTGAGGGTTTGAGGAAGCTGCTTGTACATTGGGTGTGACTGGACAACCCCACTGGGGGCTTTTTGTGGGTGGTGCAGCCAGGGAGCGAGATAACCCTTTCCAGGCCATTTTAGTTATACTAGCCATGACCAGCATAGCCGGCAGAGGAGTGACTGTGCCCAACAGTGTGACAGAGGCCAGTAGTATGTTCGAGGTGAGCAGTACTACCTGGCTACACCTCATGTGCACATTCCTGATAATGGCAAAAGTTGGCTCATGCTACCCTACGCGTCCACAGACCCATGCTCTGGTTCTGTTCCTGTAGCTTTCAGGGACCATGAAGGCACAGAGCCGGGAACTGGGGGCAGTTATTCCAGCCCTTATTGGTGACCAGGTCTGACACCGGCCTTAGGCTGTGTGCTTCATGTCCGCCTCCTGCCCTTCCTCAGCTCCACAGGCTGAGGTCCTCAGACTTCTTTGGGTCAACATGAGGAGAGACTAGAGGGAAGGTGGAGGGTAAGGGTGAGGGAGCAGCAGGGTGTTCCTCCCAGCAGGGCAATGTCCCAGGGTGGCTCCCACTGAGCCCTCCCTCCCCTAGTTCCCAGGAGACAGGCCTGCTGTAGTTCTAGATTCAGCTCTGGAGGCACTGGGTCCTATTTGTACTGGCTGCAGGTTGGCTGCCTTCCTGTCTGAGCGCCTCTGATGGGTTCTTCTGTTTTGTCCCTGTACTGACCACGTTCTCTTCCTCCAGCTGAAACCCCACACCTGTCCTATGTTCCCAAGTGGCCCAGGTGTCCCCCGCCCCCTTTTAGGAGAGACTCTCCATGTAGAGCAGCTGGCTCAC